TCAGGAGTTTGACATCAGCCTGACCAATATGGTGAAACCCCATCTCTAAAATCTAAAATGTGAACTTGGCTAAGTAGAGGGAGGAAGGTAGTGAGATATGATGACCCAATATGTCAGGCTGGAAAGTCAGGACCTTTGTTGTGAAATGACAATATATTTGGTCAGACCATGGCATATCTTGCAATATGGACCAAATAGAAACCTAGGTGTAATGATAGAGGAAGTGGTAGAAAAAGTTTAGAAAGTTAGCATGAGCTGGTTCCTTGCATCTTTCATCAAAGACCTACAAGAGTAGGATGCTGCTATTGCAAAAAAACTGAAACAGGTGTCACTGGCTTTGGGAGCAGGCAATGGGTGAAAGCCAGAAGGGTCTCTAGAAGATTATTAGTAATGATTTGAAGGACAGTGAGGAAATTGTTACTGGAATCTAGAAAAAAGAGATCCTATTAGGTAATGGCAGAATGTTTGGCAACACTGTTATCTGTGGTTACATGGAAAACAGAAAGGTACCTAATCAGTTTATGGATATGAGTAAGGAGATTTTTATGCAGAATATGAAAGTACAAATTGGCTTCTTCTGGCTGCCTATGATAAAATATGAGACTAGAAAGTTGAACTAGGCCAGACATGGTGACTCATGCCTGTAATCCCAGCACTTTAGGATGCCAAGGTGAGCGTACCACAAGGTCAGGAGATCAAGACCATCCTGGCCAACATGGTGAAACTCCATCTCTACTAAAAATACAAAAACTTAGCTGAGCATTGTGGTGCATGCCTGTAGTCCCAGCTACTAGGGAAACTGAGGCAGGAGAACTGCTTGAACCCAGGAGGCAGAGGTTGCAGTGAGCCAAGATCGTGCCACTACACTCCAGCCTGGCAACAGAGCGAGACTCTGTCTCAAAAAAAAAAAAAAAAAAAAAAAAAAAGTTGAACTAAAGTAGGAACTACTCACCCAGGAGGCAAAGGTTGCAGTGGGCCAAGATTGCACCACTGCACCTCCAGCCTGGGTGACAGAGTGAGACTCCATCTAAAAAAAAAAAAAAAAATCAACTTCTTAAAGAATTAGAAGGAAATATAGAGGGCCCAGTACAGTCTTTCCAGCCAGCAAATGACTCTCAAACTAATAAATGGCCTTGGGGCAAACATCAAATCCAGATCCCTGACAATAGAAAGGATCTCAGGATAAAGATGAAGTAAGTCAAAGGTAAGACCTTGTAATGAGACCTCAAAAATATTTAAGGGCAAGTTTCCCAGATCTTCTCAGATAAATAATACAATGTCTAATAATCCTAGAAGTGTGCCTCTTAGGCTCTTTCAGACTAGAAGGCTTTTAGGAATCTCAAGGGCATTTACTCCCAGCACCCTGATTCTCAGTCCAAGCTGGAGAGAGACCAATCTTAAAAAGATTTGTAGGTATGGCTTTGTCTATTAAGTGAATTATAAGTTGATGCACAGTGAGGCCACATTTTTACAGGAATTATACCATTTTGGACTAAAACAGACCAAGATGGCTTAAAACCAAAAGAAGTTTTTGAGTCTTCAACTTCAAATGGGCAAGAACTAGGCTGAGAAAGCTACTTAGCTATCAACACAGATACTTCTTGTGGAAAATAGAGAGTTAACTCAGAAAATGAAGTCAAGAACCTATAAGCCAAGAGCCGAGAAGAACCAAGAGCCAAGCAGAACTGAGCCCTAGACAAGACTCTGGTGACATGTGTCTGACTCAATTTCAGAATTGCTATGGACCAATGCACCAATTTGTGCCTCCAATACACCAACACACCCTTAAGAATAGGAGCGTTAAAAAAAAAAAAGCAGAGTCTCACTCTGTCACCCAGGCTGGAGTGTGGTGGTATAATCTCAGCTCAGTGCAATCTCCACCTCCCAGGTTCAAGTGATTTTCCTGCCTCAGCCTCCCGAGTAGCTGGGATTACAGGCGCATGCCACCATGCCCAGCTAATTTTTGTATTTTTAGTAGAGACGGGGTTTTGCCACTTTGGCCAGGCTGGTCTCTAAATCCTGAGCTCAAGTGATCTACCCACCTCAGCCTCCCACAGTGCTGGGATTACAGGCGTGAGCCAACAAGCCTGGATGGCAGTTATCTATCTTTATCTCACCTGTGAACATCGACTATGTTCTTCACAGGGCTTCAGGCCAAGAGGAGCCACTTTTGAGGAGCTGTCCTGGAGGAACTGCACATGAGAAGCCTTGTTCATATCTCTGGACCTGTCTCAGATAATAAGATCAGAGACATCAAATTGATGCCTTAATGAGATGAGACTTTGTGGGTCTTGGGAAGGAGATGAGTGTATTTTGCATATGGGAGGGATGTAAATTGCTGTTGCTAGAAGACAGACTATGGTATTTAGTCTCCAAAGATGGTCACCGTCAATTTTATGTGTGCTGCTCTTTACATTAAAAGATGTCTAGCTGGGAGCGGTGGCTCAGGCCTGTAATCCCAGCACTTTGGGAGGCCGAGGTAGGCAGATCACGAGGTCAGGAGTTCAAAACCAGCCTGACCAACATGGTGAAACCCTGTCTCTATTGAAAATACAAAAATTACCCAGGCGTGTGACACACCCCTGTAATCCCAGCTACTTGGGAGGCTGAGGCAGGAGAATCACTTGAACCCAGGAGGTGGAGGTTGCAGTGAGTCAAGATCACACCTCTGCACTCCAACCTGAGTGACAGAGCGAGACTCCATCTCAAAAAAAAAAAAAAAAAAGAGAGAGAGAGATGTCTAATTCTCCTCCTCCCCTTAATCTGAGCCAGACTTAACGATTTTTTTTTTTTTTTTTTTTTTGATCCTTAAAGTATAGCAGAAATGATGTCCTGGGATTTCTGAAATAAATCTTAAGAAGTAGCAGGTATGGTGTCTTGTGCCTGTATTCCAAGCACTTTGGGAGACCAAGGCAGGTGGGACCCTTGAGTCCAGGAATTTGAGAACAGCCTTGGCAACATGGTGAACCCCTGTCTCTACAAAACATGCAAAAATTAACCCAGTATGGTGGCATGTACCTGTAGTCCCAGCCACTTGGGAGGCTGAGGCAGGAGGATTGCTTGACCCTGGGAGGTGGAGGCTGCAGTGAGCCATTATTATGCCACTGCACCTGGGCCTGGGTGACAGAATGAAACCCTGTCTCAAAAATAAATTAATTTAATTAAAATTAAAATAAATAAATCTTAAGCCTACCAGCTTCCATGTGGGCCTCATGCAATGCTCACTTTGAGATTGGTCCTCTCAGGACCCTGCTGCCATGCTCTAAGAAGCCCAAGCCACATAGAGAGGCCATGCACGGGAAGCACTCTGGCTGACAGTTCTAGCTGAGCTCCCAGCTCACATCCGATATCAATTGTCATGCATCTTAAAGAAGCTACCGTAGATGTTGAGTTTGTTCAAACATTCGGATTACTCTAACTCTGATTTCCACCCACAACTGCATGGAAGACCCCACGTGAGAACCACCAACTAAGCCCAGTCTACCCGCAGAACCATGAGAGATAATAAATTTGTGCTCTTGGCTGGGCGCGGTGGCTCACATCTGTAATCCCAGCACTTTGGAAGGCTGAGGCAGGCGGATCACCTGAGGTCAGGAGTTCAAGACCAGCCTGATCAACATGGAGAAACCCCATCTCTACTAAAAATATAAAATTAGCTGGGCGTAGTGGCACACGCCTGTAATCCCAGCTACTCAGGAGGCTGAGGCAGGAGAATCACTCGAACACGGGAGGCAGAGGTTGCAGTGAGCAGAGATCACACCACTTCATTCCAGCCTGGGCGACAGAATGAGACTCCATCTCAAAAAAAAAAAAAAAGTACAATACAATATAGAATGTGTTGTATAGAATACAATACACTTGTTTTCTGAAAACAGGTGTACTGCCTGTCTTGGTTCGTTTTGTATTGCTACAACAGAATACCACAGACTGGTATTCAATACAAAACAGACATTTATTGGCTCACAATTCTGGAGGCCAGGAAGTCTAAGCTGGAGGGGGTAACACCTGGAGAAGGCCTTCTTGCTACATCATCTCCTGGTGGAAAGGCAAAGAGAGGGAGAGAAAGAAAAGGTGGGGGGACAAACTCATCCTTCTATAAGGAACCCGCTCCTGTGATAACAGCATGAATCCATTCATTACAGCAGAGCCCTCATGGCCTATTAACTTGCTAATTCCTGTTGCTTTGGAGATAAAGTTTCCAACACATGAATCTTGGGGAACACATTCAAACCATAGCACTGCCTATGGCCTGTATTCTGACAATGAATCCTTTTTTTTTTTTTTTTTTTTTTGACAGCGTCTTGCTCTGTTGCCCAGGCTAGAGTCCAGTGGCAGGATCTCAGCTCACTGCAACCTCCATCTCCCAGGTTCAAGTGATTCTCCTGCGTCAGCCTCCAGAGTAGCTGGGACTACAGGCATGCACCACCACACCCAGCTACATTTTTTGTATTTTTTGGTAGAGACGGGGTTTCACCATGTTGACCAGACTGGTCTCAAACTCCTGGCCTCAAGGGATCTGCCTGCCTTGGCCTCCCAAAGTGCTGGGATTACAGGCGTGAGCCACCGCACTTGATCTGACAAGGAATCCTTTAAATAAAGCTTTATGAGGTTGATTAGACTAATTCATATCTCTTGAGAAGATCCTGGTACAACTCATTACTTGCAGTATTAAATGTTAAGGTCTGTCTTTATTCTGAACTTATACCTTTCCTCCTTTATTGGAATTGAAATTTTATCTTTTTATGAAATGACATGATGGTAGATGGTAATTGCCTTTTTTAATGTCTTTATTTGACAAAATAAAAGTCAGCAACCTATCTCGATTTCCAAATTTTTGCTGGTATTTGAAATCCCAAAATTGAGACCTAAAGTACAGCCCCGGCCTTGGAGAGATTTCCAGGAGAGTCAGAGCCCAGAAGGCAGCAGGATCCAGGAGGTCCTCATTTCCCAGCATTCCAGCTGAGCCAGCCGGGTTATGGAACGTCACTGAGCAATTAAAATATTATCAACAGACAAAAAAAGTTTATTGAATACAAAACTCAAAGGCATCGAGAGTCCTGGACCCAAGAGATCCATGGCAAGGAGTCAAGAGTTCTGCTTCAGGGTCGGTCTGGGCAGCCCTGGAAGAAGTCATTGCACATGACAGTGATGAGGGCCAGGAAAACAGCATACTCCTGGAAGTCCACCTGCTGGTCACTGTTCTCATCCAGGTTGCCCATCAGTTTCTTCAGCCCCTCCTCATCCACTTTCTCCTGAAAGTGACAGGAAATACACTCATCACCAAGCCAGCCCCAACCCCAGCTCCACCAAACACCCAGACCCCCACACACTCAAATTGGTTCCCAGATCTCCCTCCCCACTGGGCAACTGGGTATATGGTGGGCAGGAGGCCCTGGGAGCTACTAAGAGGGCCCAGTGAGTAAGGAGAGAGACGGATACTCATTGGTGAGCATCTCCAGTGTGCCCTCCTCCTGGACACAGGGAGGACACTGGGTGCTCCACTGAGCATGCATCAGCTCGCATCCCACAGGAACCCAGCGAGGTAGGTATCATCACCCCTTTCTGCTGATGAGGAAACCGACGGTTGCTGCTCCCCAACACCAGCCAGATGGATTCAGAAAAGAAGAACACTTTACTTTTTAAGACAAGGTCTTGCTCTGTTGCCCAGGCTGGAGTGCAGTGGCACAATCACAACTCGCTGCAGCCTCAACCTTCTGGGCCCAAGCGATCCTCCCACGTCAGCCTCCCAAGTAGCTGGGACCACAGGCTCATGCCACCACACCCAGCTAATTATTTATTTTTAGTAGAGACAAGGTCTCACTATGTTGCCTAGGCTGGTCTTGGCAACCAGAGTGATCTCACTCTGTCACCCAGGCTGTATTATAGCTTACTGTAACCTCAAACTCCTGGGCTCACGCAATCCTCCCAAGTAGCTGGGACTACAAGTGTATGCCACCAAGCCTGGCCAATTTTTATTTTTGTAGAGATGGAGTCTTGCTATGTTGCCCAGACTGGTGGAACTCCTGGGCTTAAGAGATCCTCCTGCCTTAGCCTCCCAGAGTATGGGGATTACAGGCTTGGGCCATGGCACCCAGCTGAAAAACACTTTTTTTTTTTTTTTTTTGAGACAGAGTCTCGCTCTGTTGCCCAGGTTGAAGTGCAGTGGCGCAATCTCGGCTCACTGCAAGCTCCACCTCGCGGGTTTACTTACACCATTCTCCTGCCTCAGCCTCCCAAGTAGCTGGGACTACAGGTGCCCACCACCACGCCCGGCTAATGTTTTATTTTTAGTAGAGACGGGGTTTCACCATGTTAGCCAGGACGGTCTCAATCTCCTGACCTCGTGATCCACTCACCTTGGCCTCCCAAAGTGCTGGGATTACAGGTGTGAGCCACCACGCCCGGCTGAAAAACACTTTTTTAATACTAGCCAAAATAATTAGAAAAGTTTAACCAACCACAAAAACAAAACAAAACAAAAAAGGAAAGAAGGACCTGCCTCATGTGTTGAAAGCCTGACACCTAACTTTGGAAATCACCAATGAGTCAGTATAGGGAGGGTGAGGGACAAATTGAAGGTTGATGCATTTCTCCACAAAATGTTCCAGACTGTATATCTTAGCTGGGCTTTTCTCTCCCTACATAATTTCTTAGTTTGGCATATAAAAATGGAAAGAGGTCAGGTACAGTGGCTCACATCTGTAATTCCAATACTTTGGGAGGCCGAGGTGGGAGGATTGCTTGAACCTAGGAGTTCAAGCCCAGCCTGGACAACATAGCAAGACTCCATCTGTACAAAAATAAAAATTGGCCAGGCATGAGGGCATACTCCTGTAGTCCCAACTACTTGGGAGGATTGCTTGAGCCCAAGAGTTTGAGATTACAGTGAGCTATGATCCAGCCTGGGTGACAGAGTGAGATCTTGTCCCCCCACCATTTAAAAAAAAAAAAAAAAAAAAAAAGGAGTCTGGGCACAGTGGCTCAGACCTGTAAGCTCAGCACTTTAGGAGGCCGAGGAGGGCAGATCACCTGAAGTCAGGAGTTTGAGGCCAGTCTGACCAATATGATGAAACCCCATCTCTACTAAAAATACAAAAATCACTTTGGGAGGCCAAGGCAGGTAGATCACGAGGAGATCAGGAGATTGAGACCAGCCTGGCCAATATGGTGAAACTCTGTCTGTACTAAAAATACAAAAATTGGCCAGGCAGGGTGGCTCACACCTGTAATCCCAGCACTTTGGGAGGCCGAGGCAGGCGGATCACAAGGTCAGGAGATCGAGACCATCCTGGCTAACAAGGTGAAAACCCGTCTCTACTGAAAATACAAAAAATTAGCCAGGTGTGGTGGCAGGCACCTGTAGTCCCAGCTACTTGGGAGGCTGAGGCAGGAGAATGGCATGAACCCGGGAGGCGGAGCTTGCAGTGAGCTGAGATCGCGCCACTGCACTCCAGCCTGGGTGACAAAGCCAGACTCTGTCTCAAAAAAAAAAAAAAAAAAAAATAGCTGGGCGTGGTGGCATGCGCCTGTAGTCCCAGTTACTCAAGAGGCTGAGACAGGAGAATTGCTTGACCCCTGGAGGCACAGGTTGTAGTGAGCGGAGATCGTGCCATTGCACTCCAGCCTGGGCAACAAGAGTGAAACTCCGTCTCAAAAAAAAAAAAAAAAAAAAAGGAAAAAGGGAGAGAGAAGGTGCCAGTACTGTGTGATCTTGGGACAATCACTTTTCCCTTCTGGGCTCTGGTTTCTCAAGTTTCCAATAACAGGATTAGACAGATGGACCCTGAAGGCCCTCACAGCACACAGTTCTCTGGAATGCTGCAGGAAACAGCCATTGATAAAGCACTCCCACTTGGGCCTCATTTCCACTGCAGTGGAGCCATGAAGCAAAAGTGGAGAGAGGGCTGGGCCCCACCCTGGTACCTGCATCCATAGGCACCCGGAACTGGGGGAGAGATTTAACCTGCACCCCCACACTCACACCAGGACCTCCCCCAGAGGCCTGTGCCACTCACCCCCACAAAGCTGGGCAGCTCCTTTTGCAGAAGTTCCTTCATCTCCCCCTTACTCAGCTTGAACTTGTCGCCCTCTTGGCAGGAGTACTTGTGGAAGGTAGTGACCAGCACAGCCAGCGCCTGCTCCAGGGAACTGCACATCATGGATCTGTGGCTGCAGAGGTGCCAGGTGATGCGTACACTGCTGAGGTTCTTGGGGCCTTAGCTCGGCCTGCGGGATCCACTTCTGCCCCGTGCCCCCAAGCCACCTCACAAAACCCCTCTCCGAATGGGAAGGCAGGGAGCATGTCCCCCTCAGACTGTGGTTCCCTGAGGCCGGGGGCCATACTTCCGCCGCCCCCTGAGGGCAGACGCTAAAGCTTCCCTTGTGTCTGGGAGTCACCAATGGCAGGGCCCGAAGCCTCCTCTGATGGCACTTGGGCCATCCCCCTGAGGGCAGGGCTCCCCGCTTGAGTGTCTGCCAGAAGGGAAATGACAGGGTGACCAGAGCCCCATTTTGACGGCATCTGCCCAGGCGCTGGGGAGCAGGGCCGCATGCACCAGCTGGCAGATGGGGGCTCCTGTGCGGTCTGGCAGGAGCCATGGCTACACCTAGGAGCAGGAAGCTCCCTGAAGGAGTCATTTCCCTCCTCAGACTCAGGGCTTCTGAAGCCAGAGGCATCTCTCTCTGCCATCTAACTGGAAGCTCCCCTGGGCAGGGGCGTTTCCTCTCTCAGACTAGGAGCTCCCAGAGGCTGGGGAATGTGTCTCCCCTCACCCTGAAGGCCCCTGAGCCTTTATGCAGAGAGGGGCATGGGTAGGGTGGGGGCAACTTAACATCCTCTCCACCAGGAAGGATCCTGTTGGAATTAGAATTAAAGATATGAAATGTTCATTGCCCTGGGATCAGGATGGAACAGACCTCAGCAGCAAGGCCTCTGAGAATACTCAGACCAGCCTGGAAAGGTTAGGCAGGTTTCAGGGTGAGGCCAGAGGAGCTATGCCAGAGGCAGGGCAAGCCCTGGGCCCATCCTGCTGGCCCTGCCTTCACCAAGGCAGGGGGCAGAGCTTTGCTGCTAGGGACCATGACCCAGGCAGAGTCTTGCACTTGAGACCCCTGCCTTTTGCTCCTTAGTCTTGCTAGAAGCCGGCACTTTGCAAAAAATAATAATAATAATAATAACCTCAGGATTCTTATTATAGCACCACCCACGTATACACCTCCTGCTCCTAGGCCTAGACCCCCAAAGAAGGGACCCTAGACTGGGATATCCAGAGGAGGGCCTCAGAGCAACCGCTGCACTGAGACCTCACAGAGGAACCTAGAGAAAAACCCTTCAGTCAACACTTCACAAAGGGTTCTTCCAAGGGGGAAGGCCCAGAGAGGCCCAGGTTGATCCCACCAGGGAAGCTGGAATGAGAGAACTGTGGAGACAGAGACCCACGGGGGTCCTCCCCACCCTGCCCTCAGCAGGACAGAGGTACTCACCAGACCAGGTGGCAGAGACAGACCCAGGAAGGAGAGCAAGGCAGCCAGGCTCCCAGGGTGAGGATTTATATGCGGGCCCCACTGGCCCCCAACTTGGCTTTTTAAGGAAACCAAACCTGCCTCAACCTGATCCCACCAAACCCTGGCCTCTTGCCATTCCCACTCATTTCCTCCCAGCCCCCTCCCTCCCAGAGAGTGCCAGCTCCACCACCAGCTCGGGGAGGCCTCTAGGCCAGGTCAAGGGCAGCCCCTGAGCCCACCCAGGCCACAGTAGGAAGTGGGAGGTGTCATGGGGACTGGGCAGCCTGGGCCAGGGGTGAGGGGAGGCAACCCTGCTCTGGGGCCTGGAGACTGGTGCCAGGCCTCATTCTCATGACATGCCTGTGAGTCACAGCCCACTCCTGTGTGAGAGGCTGCGGGCACACGCTGGGCCTTCACGGCCGGGTGCTCATGTGCATACATGTGCCTGTGTGTGAGAGACAGAAGCAACCTGGGGCCACCCTTAGGAAGCTGGGGGCCAGAGGAGGCAGCTGGGGGACATCAGGAGAAGAAGGACAGGACTGACTTCAGGACACGAATGAAGTAGAGTTAATTTTAATGGCCAGCACCAGAATACCTCTTAATGAGGTAATGAAGTAACTAAGTGTGCTTAGAAATACCTCGGAAGGTCCCTCTGTGTAGGAAGGGGTCTGGAAGGATGGGGAAGCAGGGAGAAATGGGGCTGCTCTGCACACAGCCACAGCTGGGCTGGGCAACAGTCTGTGGGGAGTTTAAGGAAGTCCTGAGCTGTTAAAGGGTGAACAGGAAAACTTTAGCCTCCTCTTCTCCAGCTTGAGGGCTGGGTGGGTGGGTGGGTGGGTGGGTGGGTAGGGGTACATCCCTACTTAGGGCTGAAAACACCAGCTAGACAGCTTCCCAAGCCAGGGTCCAGGCCTGAAGCAGAGCCCCCAGCCACAGCCCTCTCTCACTGCCCCCACACACATGTCCTCCCCAGACCTGGAGAAAGGCAAACACTGTGGCCATTCAGAGCCCAGCCCAAGGGAGGGCTGCCCCCTCCCAGGGCCCCTTCCTCCTTGGCCCTTTGTCTATCCCAACCCCAGTCTGGGCATCAGGGCACCGCCCTTCCTGTGGCCCAGCTCCCTTCCCTGCTCCAGATGTCAAGCAGCTTCTTCCCCTCCCCCAGCCCCTCTGCCCCAGCCCTCAGTGACTCACCCAAGGTTCCAGGCCCAGATGCCCAGGCAGTGACTCAGCGGCACCACCCTCCTCCCCCAGGGCCAGGGCAGCAGCAGTCCCAGAGCAGTAGGTGGAAGCCCCAGCCCAGCCTGGCAGGGAAAGCACTGGCACGGAGACCCTAAACCGGCCCTGCCAGGGGGAGCTTTGGATAATGACATGGCAGGAGGATCAGACTGAGAACAGGCTGGTCCCTTCCTGGCGGTCACCGTGCCACTTGGGGGCCAGCCTAAAAAGTGTACATGAAGTCAGGCCTTGGGGCCCCCAGTGTCCTCTTCTACACCTTGACACAGTCACCCAGTGTCCCTTGCTGCCTCGGCACTTGAACCCCTCATGCTACTTGTCTTCCCACCGAAGCCTACTTCAAGTAGGACTCAGACTAAAAACCCTTCACACTGAGGGTGAGGGACAAGGGAGCGCAATGCATCGCTTTTCACAGCCATTCTTTGCTTTTAACTGAGGGCCTCCGCAGGGCCCTCCCTGCTCAGAAACTGCAGTGCATCCCCATGGCTGTCCCTGAAAGCCAGGCAGTGTGTTCTCACTCATAAGTGGGAGTTGAACAATGAGAACACACGGACACAGGGAAGGGAACACCACATACCAGGGCCTGTGGGCAGTTGGGGGGAGACGGATGGGGGCAAAGGGAGGGAGAGCATTAGGACAAATACCTAATGCATGCGGGGCTTAAAACCTAGATGATGGGTTGATAGGTGCAGCAGACCATCACGGCACATGTATACCTACATAACAAACCACGTTCTGCACATGTATTCCAGAACTTAAAGTAAAAATAAAATAATTAAACTTAAAAAAATTTTTAAAGCCTGGCAGCGAGGTGCTCCAGACTTGGCCTGCTCCTGCGTGTCCCTTAAACACACCAGCACATGCAACTAGTGTGGCCAAGACCCTTGGCTTGTGCTGACCCCTTGCTCAGAACGTGCCCACACATGCCCACGCCCTCTACCCTGCTGAAACCCCACCCACCCTTCAAAGGCCAGTGAAATGCCACCCACTGCAGGGAGCCTTCCCAGGGCCCAACCGGATTCAGTCTCTACCTGTTCTGTCCTGTACAAAGCACACCTTTTGCCCTTCTCGTGTGTACTTAGAGCATTCTGATTTTGACTGAATCACTTGTGTACTTGTTTTCTCTCAGCCTCACCCCCACATGGTGAGCTCACCGGTCTTACTCATTTCTGCATGAGGTAAGGGTCTCGCCCGCACCAGGTGCCAACCAGTGTTTATGTCTACCGCATGGCAACAGGGGTCACTGGAGGAGTGCTTAGGAGCCAGTGAGTCCTTCTCACCCCGTGAAATCACACCACTGACTACGCTACGAAATAATCACCTCTCCTCTGGATCCCAAGAGTGGAACCGAGACAACGGGTCGGAAAAGAGCTTCAGAGAGCTACAACTCACTGAGGAGTGACAGCAGGAAACGCGGCTCCCAGCACCCAGTGAGGGAGTTGAGCAAAGCCCCCAGCGGGCAGAGACAGAGACAGGAGGCAGACAAAGAAGACAAAGAGTCAGTCAGATGGAAAAGCCAGGGAGAAAAACGGAGACAGCAGCAGAGCCGCGGGTCACTAGGGTCAGCTCCTGGAGGCCTGTCCTTAATCAGGTGTCTCTGTCTCAGGAACTGAGGCTGCGACTGCGCCCATCAAATGGCCATATTCCTGAGACTGGTGATAATCGTATTCATTTGCCACTAACTTGCTGCGTAACCTTGCGCAACTCCCTCCCCCATGGCAGAGCAGGTGAGTTGTACGGAATGGCCCCTAGTGTCCAATCCCAATTCCACTCTGACATTCTCCAGCTGTCTACAAAGGCAGAGTAGTCAAGACACGGGCAGGCCCTGCGGACATCCAAGGCAGCGACTCTACCCCGGCCCAGCCTAAGGAAGCTGGGTCCTCACATTCCGTCCACTCCCTCTCCGGGTTCCAGGTGCCAGAAATTTTCCACCAGCGGCCCCGCGGGATTTTGCCCGGCTGCCTCGTGCCCTCTGGTGGCTAAGGTGTGTCATTGCAGTGCCGGCCTCCTGTCATCCTTGTCCGCCAGACCCTCCGGCGCCCTGCTGACGACTCAGGAGACAGTGCTGACTCATTTCCAAGCGGCCTTCCTACACCCACACCTGCTTCACACAGATGAGGTTTCCTGGACAGTCCCTGCCCAGAAGCCCAGGTGGGTGCCTGAGACGGCAGCCAGATACCTGAAAGCCGTTTTAAAAGCCTAGGGATATAGGTACTCGGGAGACAGGAGGCGGAAGGACCATTTGAGCCCAGGAGTTTGAGGCTGCAGTGAGCCATGATCGTGCCACTGCACTCCAGCCTGTACGACAGAGCAAGACCCTGTCTCAATCAATGAATACAAGCCCAGAGATAGGGGCAGAAGGAAACCAGGGGTCAGAAGTGAGGGACTGGCCACTGCCAAGTTCTGCCCACCCACCCCCTTTCCCCAGGCCATTCAGGGGAAAGAGAAATGGCCTCACTGTGGGGGCCACAGGTTTAGTTTAAGTCCTGGCATGGCCTCTGGCTCACTGTGTGACTGTCGACCTTGGTTGAGTGGTGCCACGAACCTGAGCTTAAACGTTTTTCCTTTATTACGGACCCCTTTATTATGCCCCACCCCACAAAATACGTTCTGAAGTATTCTCTCTTAGCAAAATGCATTAAATAATTTATTTCCCCTGTTTTACTAATCGAAGCCATAAGTGTCTCCCGACAGCACGACCAGCATGCGAGGATCCACGTTATCACATTGGGTTCAGGTCATCCTGGATTTGTCACTCACAATGGGTGTGTGCATATCCTTTGCTGGAGGGGTGCAGAACTGAAATTTCGAAGCACCTGCTGTGCATCAGGTGCTCTCTGTACATTACCCCATTTAATTCACACAACAATCCCAGGAGTTGGAATAAGCTGACCTCACTTCACAGAGGAGAACACTGAGACTCAAAGTCTGCCCAAATTCACATAATTAGTAAGGGGTGGCGAGGCATGATGAACACAGGTGGTCACAACGTTAAACCTTTTCTAGAAGCTCCGATCATCCCCCCGATAACCCTGAGAGCCCTAACATTTCATTTCCATTCAGACCAGCCTCAGTCTCTCTGCCCAGCCTCTCTCCACCCCCACACCCAGCCTATCTGTCTCATTTCTCAACCTCAGCAGCTGCCAGAAGCTCAGCTTCTCCCCATCTCTGATTCTGGCATCTTTTCCTCTGGCCTTCAAATGCCCTATGGACTGGATTCTTTTTAATTTTTGTTTATTTACTTACTTATTTGAGGCACAGTCTCACTCTGTCGCCAAGGCTGGAGTACAGTGGCACCATCACAGCTCACTGCAGCCTCATGTGATCCTCCCACATTAACCTCCTCAGTTGCTGGGGCTATAGGTGCACGCCGCTGTGCCCAGCTATTTTTTGCATTTTTTGTGGTGACGGAGTTTTGCCATGTTGCCCAGACTGGTCTTGAACTCCTGAGCTCAAGCAATCCTCCTGCCTCGGCCTCCCAAAGTGCTGGGATACCAACATGAGCCACCATACCCAGCCTAGCCTGGATTAAATACAAATATAAAAGAGACTGGGCGTGGTGGCTCCCACCTGTAATCCCAGCACTTTGGGAGGCTGAGGCAGGCAGATCACCTAAGGCCAAGAGTTCGAGATCAGCCTGCCCAACATGGCAAAATCTCATCTCTACTAAAAATGCAAAAATTAGCTGGGTATGGTGGCGCGCACCTGTAATCCCACCTACTCAGGAGGCTGAAGCGCAAGAGTCTCTTGAACCCAGGAGGTAGAGGTTGCAGTGAGCTGAGATTACATCACTGCACCCTAGCCTGGGTAACAGAGTGAGACCCTGTCTCAAAAAAATAATAATACAATCAAATATGCTTAAAAGAACAGTTTCTCAATGCCTCACCTCCTCTTGGCTTCCCCTTTGCCACAAATAACAACACCATCCACCCAATCACCCAAACCAGAAATGTGACTGTCCACCTGTCCTCTAGCCTCCCGCTTCCCCCTCTCTGCCCTCCAGATGTTGGTCAGTCGACCTATTATTTCTACCTTCTAAATACCCCCCAGCTTTGTCCACCCTGCCTTAGATCCCTCAGCATCATCTTGCTCCTGGACTAC